TACCTGTGGCTTGTGCTCCCTGTGCCAAGCCACAAACCTCTTTATAAAGAGTTTAATGAGATAGTAAGCCTTGTTGCACACAGCAGGCCCAGTTTGCATGCTTCATTGTGTGTTAACTTGCATACCAAGTGCCCCCCCCCCATTTTTTCAGATCCAATAATACTATTTTTAGAGCTGTTTCTTGTTCAGGACACTTGTAACAGAACCTCCACTTCCCACAAAAAAAAAGTTTGTAGCACCTTCAGAAAAAAAAAAACTTTATACTTTGTGGAATAGCAAGTGTTCTTGGGTTGACTGGGTTCATTGCCAATTTTGATTTGTCCTTATCTAGCTCCTCCTGCTTCTATATTACTTACCCCTTTTGGGCTAGTCTGAGATGTTTATCTGTCTGAGGCAAAGGACATAATGATGCCCTCAATGCCATGTACAGAACACAGTGAGGCTGGCACTTAATATTTCTTAAGCACTGCCAATGACAAGATGGAAATTCTGCGGGTGGGTTCCCCTAGTGCAGCGATCCATAAGTTGCCGGATTGCTACTCTCCCCTCACCCCCGCAGCCAAACCTGAGCAAGTGGCTGCAACCGCAGTACTGGTGCCTGGACAGCCGGTGGGTCAGGATCTGGAGCAGCTGGTGCTGGCAGCGGATGCAGACTGGGGTCTTGAGGCACTTCCGTGCCCGGGATTCCCATTCCACGGCCAGTTCCGGTTCCGCGGCGGCAGCAGTGGCACACCATCCCCTGGTTTGTTTTTCGCAGTCTGGGCACACAAGCCCAAAAAGGTTCGCCACCACTGCCGTAGTGTCTGTGGTCTTGATGCTTCCCTCTCTTTTGGGGGGTACTCTTTCCGCAAAGTATGGGGTGCGCAGCTTGGGCATACCCTTGGACCCAGCACTGTCAATGGAATCTCAGATTGTGCGTGTGGTCCATTCTGCCTATTTCCATATAAGGCAGATTTCCCAGTTGACACAGGGCCCCTCACCACGCTGGTTCATGCACTGGCAGTCTCGATATTAGACTATTGTAATGCTCTCTATGCGGGGCTGCCCTTGGGGCTGTTACGGAGACTTCAGCAGGTCTAGAACTCAGTGGCCAGATTGCTGAGTGGGGTAAGGAGACATCAATGCATTTTCCCCACCCTAGCCGCCCTGCACTGGTTACCCATCAGTTTCCGTGCCATCTTCAAGGTGATGGTGTTAACCTGCAAGGCCCTAAACGGTTTAGGACCTTGATATCTGGCAGAATGCCTCCTTCTGACTAGTTCTGCCCATCCTGTAAGATCCTCTCAGGCCGGGCAGTCACTCCACAGTCTCCCACCCAAAATTAGACTGGCCCCTTCACTGGAAACCTTCAAAAGATTTTTAATAACATGGTTATTTACACAGGCCTTCACGGACTTTCTCCTGCCAACCTAGAAGTTCAAAAGCATGTAAAAATGCGAGTAGATAAATAGGTACCACCTTGGTGGGAAGGTAACGGCGTTCCATGTCTAGTCGCACTGGCCACGTAACCATGGAAACTGTCTTCCGACAAACGCTGGCTCTACATCTTGGAAACGGGGATGAGTCAAACATGACTGGACTAAATGTCAAGGGAAACCTTTACCTCCCGGACTTTAAAACACCCTGATACAGTACTGCTTTTAATAACTATACACTCAACAGCCATGCCTTTATTATTTTATTATTTTAATGTATTTTATTTTAGTTACTTTCACATTTTGTTTTATGTTGTTGTTGATTATTTCTGTTTTATTGCTTTGTATTACTGTATTTGTAAACTGCTTAGCCGTATAGGTGGTATAAAAATAAAATTGAATGAATGAATGAATGAATGAATGAATGAATGAATGAATGAATGAATGAATGAATGAATGAATGAATGTGATTGAGGGCCCCCGCCGTATCAATCAGCAGACTAATTTGTGGGGCAGCTTGCTCAAAATCGACTACTTTGTCATGTAAGGGAGATAAATAGTCAGGATACTCCAGAGGAAAAAGACTAGTGGACTTCTGCTGCTGCCCACACCAACATCTACCACCTAGAATGACTACATAATTCTACCTAACAGTAGGGCCAGCCCTTGTAGCGGCACGTGCAACAAAATGCTGTAGAGCGATTCCTATCACTCTGTTCCATCCCTCAACAGGCAGTCAGCATGACCATACAGCATGTTCATCCCTCGCTGAACTTGGGGGTGGTCTCCCCTCATTAGGATTTATTGCATTTCCTCAAACTTTAAGATTCTCTCAAACCTGTGGACGTTTCCTCTTTTTTTGCTTGTGTGCCGTTATTTTGAGTATTTAAGGAGCTAACATGAACAACCTCAAGATCAAAAGCCAAGGAAATGATGGTCTCTCTCATCTATGTAGGTTTATGCTATTTCTGTGTGTATTGACAATGAGGGAAAGAACTATAAACAGGTAAACCTGTGTGCAGTTGACACTGTGTTTGTAGTGTTTCTAGTGTGGTCTCAATCTATGTTTTCTAAAAAAAAGTCTGCAAAGCCCCTTCAAGACTACATTAGAAGATAACCAACATGGCCTCAAGAGCAAACTAGATATATATCGTGTATTTCTAGAAAAAGCGCTCCTTCAGGTGATGAGAGAAATCTGATTCTTGTAGCATATGTTTCTCTCATCTATGTATCCTGCATTTAGCACACTTTGCTTCAGCCCTGTAATCTGACTGGTCATTGGGGAATAAACCCTGTTTTCATAGTTAATGTGCATGTTTGTTAAAGCTTGTACCTGTGAGAAAAACATGTTGTGGAGGAGAAACCGTGCCAGTCATTTGTTGAGAATATAGATTTCCCTTGATCTGTAGTCTGACCCTCAGTTTTGAATAAACTGTCACAAAATGTAAACAGATCTAGAAGAAAATGTGGAAGGGGAATACTGGTTCATCCTTGCTTCTGTCATCTTGAAGATTTCAAAGTGTTTGATTCTAAAATGATATCTGAATCCTATACCTAAGTCCCATTTGTGCATATACATGTGAAGGCATGTTAGCTAATAAAGGTAAAGGTAAAGGTAAAGGTTCCCCTTGACAATTTTTGTCCAGTTGTGTTTGACTCTAGGGGGCGGTGCTCATTCCCGTTTCCAAGCCATAGAGTCAGCGTTTTGTCCGAAGACAATCTTCCGTGGTCACATGGCCAGTGTGACTTAGACACGGAACGCTGTTACCTTCCCACCGAGGTGGTCCCTATTTATCTACTCACATTTGCATGCTTTCGAACTGCTAGGTTGGCGGGAGCTGGGACAAGCGTGGATTTGATCTTACGACTGCTTGGTCTTCTGACCCTGCAGCACAGGCTTCTGCGGTTTAGCCCACAGCGCCACCACATCCCATGTTAGCTAATAAGTAAACAAATATTCTTTTGAAATATATTTTTACAAGCTTCGTGCATTGAGATTGCTTTCTTCCCGTAATGGAAATTTGTTGTATAGACATGACAGTAGAACAAAGATAATACATGGACAGCACATAAAGTCTAGCCTGTATGTATCAGCAGCAGCAGTAGTAAAATTGCATGAAATACAGGGCTGTAGCGAGAGGGAAGCAAGAAGAGCATTGCCCCCGGGCACCAAAATTAAGAGGGCACTAGAGGTTTGCACTAAGTTTTAGGAAAGAAAACTGCCAGATATCTTTGAAGACCAGGTTTCCCCACCTTACTGGTTTTTTGGGCCACCACCCTGGGAATCAACCAGTCAATAATTCTGAATGTGGTGATCGAGCAAACCTGGAAGGCAAAAGGGTGAGGAAGTCTGCTGTATATCATCCAAGGAGACTTCCGAGCTTTTGATTGAAATTTTTATCTCTGTATGTGATAAGGAAGTTAAATTGTTCATGCCTTGACTGATTTTTTGTTTCAATTATAGTTGTTTTATTTATAAGAACATGTTTTGAGACCTATTTTTGGGAGAACGATTAGATATTAATTGAATAAATGAAAAAGTAGACAAAATGAAAAAAATACATAATCTAGCACTTGAGTTGGAACTGTT